GTGAGCAACACACTTCAGCTATTGTGCCGCAATATAAAAAACAACGGAGCACATTTTCGTTATTTTGCAAACGCCATTTTTTAATTTTTTGTCGTGTTTAATCGTTTAGCAATAAGTATCGAAACCTAAGACGTTATATACACAGATCCTCCACTGGTCTCGATCACCAGCCATATCCTGAATTGTTTCCAGCCACCGGCACTCCTCATCCTTTGGCCCCGACCAGGCAGACGTGTGGATCCAGTGGTGAAGCCAACGATTTCATTTGATGTCACCAGGTGGATGGTGGACGACCATGTGGTCTCTTCCAGTTGAGTCCTGCACGAGCAAACAGAGCGCGATAGGGCAGACGCTCAGCTGACATATGCAGGACGTGACCGAGACATCCTAACTGGCGTAGCAAAACCAGCTTGTTGAAGGGAAAATTCTCACTTCCTAAGACACGACGTCTGACTTCACTGTTGCAAGTGTGTTGTTGCCGCCACACACGGGGCCAGGTAGGCGGTCAAGCCAGAGCAAGTGGGGGAGAAACGACGCACGAATGTGACAGGTAGTAATTTTCCATGCATGGTGTGTTGTGGGATAGAAACATGACAAATATACGTGTGTGCGCAATAAAGATTTTGCTTTCTTGCCGCTTAGTTCTTGCTACACTATGTGGAAACTCCTTATTCCCTTCGCTGCATCGTTGGTATGTAAATGCTCCTAACTCTGTGGATATTGGTTCTAACAAGAACACCTTGGTATGCAACAGGAGCGAAGCTGGAGAAATGTATGTATAGCCCACTCCAGATTGCTTTACATAGGCCAGTGCGTTGGAGTGTATTTTTTGGTTCGCCTTTTCATAAGAATGTCGGAAAATGGCACGCTGTTTTGCTGTTTAGGAGGCAGTTCGTCACAGTTCCCCCTCAGTTAGTGGGATAGGACACGTTTGGAAAAGCAGCAGACGGCGCTATTTCAACCTTCTTGGTCTAGTCAGTGGTGCACCTTGAACAACGCACAATGAACAATGATTTTATACAGGTTAAGTAGCATTGCTTTACAAGCCCCGTTAGGTGGTCTGATGGGTTAACGAAACACGTTAATGAAAAGAGCAGTTAGTAGTTTTACTGTCGAAATAAAGAAGTTATCGTTTTTGATTCAGTAGCCCTGCACCCCGAGCGTTTCCATAGCTTCAATAGGCGGAACAAGTCAATCTAAGGTATTTCCCGGGAGGAGGATGGAGAGTTGCCTCAAGGTACAGAATGAAAGTGGCGGAGTGCATCATTCAACCGACTTTTAAAAATGGTTAGCGTATGTTCTGAAACAACAGATTCGGGCAGTGTTCCATGCTTGACACACACGAATGGAAAAGAACTTTCTACGGCACGTAGGGCAGCTGTATTGTTTTGCTAATTTTATAGAGTGGCCTCTAAGTATGGTGTTACTGCTGAGTTGCAGTAAAGAGTGGCACACATGATTTGGATTATGTAAAATCAAATACGCCATAATCAAGTGGCGTCGTAGTCGGCGGTACCGCCCTCTGAATACTCCCAAAGGTTCCAGCCCTTGCTCGTACGGAAGATAGCGCATTCCAATGACGTATGTAGTAGCCCGACGTTGAGATTGGTCCAGTGCGGTAAGGCCGTGCTTTAGCCATGACTGCTAGGCTTGGATTGTGTAGTCGACATGGGGACGAACATACGCATTCAGCATCTGTCTGAAAATAGTGGCGTCTAGTTTTCCGTTGTAGCAATCGGATGCGCTGGTTACCAGTTTTCGAGGCCTTTGCAGGTTGTTTGGAACAACCCAAGATATCCTGAACAAGGATGCCAAGGCCGCGTTCGATGGATGACCGCTGCAGTACGTGCGCTCGTAGCTTGTAGGAACAGGTACTCTAGTGTCGTATGGAGAATATCTTGCACTTGTCCACGTTGAACTGTAACAGATTTCGGGTTGTCCAATCATGTACCCTATCGAGGCTACATTGAAGTACATTCTAGTCTGCATCCGCCTGAATCCGGCACTACAACTTGATATCGTTAGGAAACAGTAGGAAATTTGAAGCGATATTCCGTGTAAGGTCGATGATGAATAACCATAGCAACTGGGGACTTAGAACTGAGATCTGGGGCACTCCAGACTCGACTGGTACGGGTTCCGATCCCATGACTTCCAGATGCTGGCAACTTGTGACATTAAGCCATGGGTGACGGCGGCGGATTTGCATGACTGAGATTTGACTACGATATAGCGCGTCTTGTGCTTCACTGCCATGCCAGTTAAGAACTGTGTAAACAACATTGGTTGGGGTGAGGCGAATTCAACGGTGTGAAAACCGTTAAAATGTTCCCAGCCGGTGAAGAATACAATGTCATACCCTTGACGTTTATGCAATTTAACTTCGTCATCGGTGTTAGCGGTCTTCGCAGTAATATGTCCGCCAGGACCAGGATTGAGGGGTTGCCATTACAACACTGTCGACCTGCCTGTATGCGAAGCCCTCAAATTCAAAGGGAACATTCTTAGAATAGGTTAATACAAGGTCACTTGGGTACTCAGAGGTAGGGGGCACATATAGATTTTTACTCACGTGGGAAAGCAAACGCAGTGTTTCAAGTTTTTCAAGGAGTGCTCCCCGCATTTGTTGCGAAAGCAGTAGATCGATTGATTTCTTTGCGCTGCAAGCTAGCTACGGAAGGCGTACGGGTTAAATTCTATGAGGACTGTTTCTAGTTATGCTGTTATACATCTTGGTTTGCTTAAGCTCTATCGAAGAAGAATGTATCAGGGAAGAAAACCAATCTGGTTAGGATTGTACCCTCACATATGGACGCCGGTTTGAGTATCAACACAAGTTCCCTGAGAAGCAAATGCGTTTTACGAGCATTCTTAACCGGGTATCTTTGGTTTGCCCCCTCAAGTTTGAAGTATTTTTGGCTGAAATTCTCCGCCGTAAGAGAATTAAATGACTAAACCGCTTGCATGGCTGCCTTGCAGTAATGGCCGAAGCAGTATGCCTTGAAGAGCGCAGCAAACACGTGCACAATGTTTCATCGGCTCACTTTACACGAAAACATTTAGAAGATCTTTCACTGGGACAAAGGTATAGGTTTCCATCTGATTAATACCCAGGCGAATGTGTGTATCTGTACCATCAGCTAAGCGAACTATCGCTCAGATCAATCGATGACGCTGGCTGGTTTCGTGCAAAATTGCAGGATATCGGGAACCAATTTCTACACACTGCCAAGCCAGAGGAGTTGCTTGGGATCTGAACATTACAATGCAATCAGAGAGTTGAAAGAGATGAAGCATGTCACCTTTTTGTACTCGGGTAAGAGATCGGGTGTTGTAATCATGGAAAAATCGGATTACCTCTCCAAGATGGAAATAGTTCTCAGAGATAGACGTAAGTTCCAAGTGGACAGCACTGTGGACACCAATCTTTTGGTAGAAAAGCAGGTTGCAAGAAAACTGCAAATTCTTTCGTTGCATGGGTACATCTCCGAATCACAGTATTGGTAGCTGAAGACGACGGGAACGGCGAATCCAAGAATGGGTGGTGCACCGAAGATACACAGGAGGGGAAATTCTTTGTGACCAACATTTCGCATGAACAACTCCCCATACCACACGGTTGCTTGTTGGTTGGCGGGGCGGCTAGAAGCGGTTCGTAACATCTTAACTGCATGTGGCTTACATGACTCCTTCGAACTAATCGAGTCATTGAACCGTGCGTCCCTACAATCAGAGCTCATGTCCTCGATAGGTGTGGACTCAATTTTCACGAAGGTACCCTTGCGCGACACTATTGACGACATACGCGTTTTTCTTTTGAGTCCAAATATGTATGTGAGCCCACCACCTGAGTACCAAAGTGACCTGATATTAACGTGTTCAAAGGATGTTCAGTTTGAATTTGAGGGATCCGCATACAGGTAGGTCGACGTTGTTGTAATGGCGACCCCACAATCCTGGATCTGGCGGACATATTACTGCGAAGACCGCTAACACTGATGACGAAGTTAAAATGTATAAACGCCAACGGTATAACATTGTACTTTTTACTAGCGAGTAACACTAAAGCGAATTGTCACACTATTGAATACTGGTCTATTTATATTCATAAGCATCTGTCAAAAAATGGGCATGGAGCCATCAAATGTCATGGAAATCAATAGAAAGTACAAGCTGATCAAAAATTGAACGAACGAATACTTTTCATTCGTTTTTACGGACCGATCTCTTTTCCTCTTCCTTTTTCCAAACTCCTCTGTTCAGTTGATAGAAGTAGGCTAAGCAAAGTAGCAGGTAGCGGAGGGGATATTTGTGTGCATGAATAGAAATTAGATGCTGCTTAAACGACCCCCAATTCGATCGATTAATTTCAGCGGTCTGCTAACTCTGTGGACGTACGTGAATACGCTCTTCGTTCTTCTTAGCCTTCTGTTTTATGCAATGCAGCCAACCAACTACAAGTCTATGTAACAAGTTCGTGTTAATACGAGTTCCAAGTTACTGTATATTTTGGATAGTATAGGTGCTAGGCCGTAGTAGGCTGCTTTAGTTTACTTGCTTAGCTAGAATCAGGTCTTTTATCAAAATTAGAGAACACATTAACCGAAACAACGGAGAGAACTCTAGTGTAAAACTGGATCAATAACTTATCCCAGCGTATGGATTACTATCCCTCTTGGAAGCCAGTATGATGAACTAGTAAAATTAGATCAGTTTCATCTAACAGTTGCATATGACCGCTGCAGAAACGAACTTCTTAAGGGAAAACTTCAAAATGGACTAAACAAACCCAGTCAGTGTGGTAATTTGGACCAAAACAATCCCCGTTATTAAATTAAAAAGTACAGCTATATCTATATATAGGCGATACAGCCTGGGTCGGGCGGTGATTAAGGGATCAGCATGGCCGACTAGTTGATCACCTCCCTGTATTTATATGAAAAATGTGGTACTGTATCCTGTTTCCCAAGGCTTTCGCTGAAAATATAGTTGTGACTCACCAGCTTCAGTACCACGTTTGTCAGAACCAGATCCATTCTATGGCTTCGGCGACGTCCTCTGTCCATCATCACTGCGAGTGCTGAGCCTTCAATCGAAGAGACCGGATTGACTACCGCTGGTATTATGCCCTTCGAGAGGACTTTGGAAACGGAGTGCAAAGTAGGTTCACTAGTTTGCAGTAATAATGGCACTGCATTGTGATCCTGTGAGAGTTCGGTTTGACAGACGATTAAATTTTGCTTTTCATGTGCAGGAGCTTCGAATAGTTTTGAAGCAGTACATATAAGATCAACACCCGCTTGTACTTTGTCAACTAGTGTGTGTTCAAGAAGTTGTTGTCCGGCATATAGTTCCAATTGTAATAATGCAGACGAAGGTGATAACAAGGGCATCAGATGTCGCTCACTGAGGCCGCTGACGCTGAGCATCATCTGAGGTTCATGGTTTTGTGCTCGAGTTTTTGACACACCAACGATCCCAAAACTATCGGATCTAAATTAATAAAGTGGCGGTTTAACTCACAGGTTACTGCGCAATTTTTGCGTAAGCAGTGAGAAATCTTATGAAGTGCACCGGCCGCTTCTTTACTGAGACACAACATTATTTCGTAAATCTGTGAACTATATATATATATATATATATGTATATATATATATGTATGTATATATATATATATATATACACGGAATCTCTTTCTAATCGGTGTAGGAACTGAAAACGTTTTCTTGAGGAAAGCCACCAAGGATGCACGCAAAGTTTATAGAGGTAGCACTTTGCCGGTGCATAGTTTCTTAACTAATCGCAAATGCCGTTACTCCCAGTCTGGTCTGATGTATTAATCCGATTGAGTGGTTGTATGCAAAGGGAACAAAAGCACAGTACAATTATTCTGCTAAGATTGAAAGAGGTTGTTACTTAGTTAGTATCGTCCTACCATGTGTTAACTTGCACTTTGTAGACGCAGTAACACCCGTTATCTCTTCGTTCTGCTCCACGTGACTTTCCCTACCCAAATGGGCGCATTCGTCAAGCGTTCAAAGAGACCAGCTTCTGGGCTTCATCTACAGTCCTGGCATTAGCTATTAAACTAAACTTTTTCATCTAATTAAGCTATATTTCGCACTGGCCATGAATGCATGGTGCAGAATTTCGGATGAACACCGACGATGCCGCCAACTATTGGTATCACCAGAGACATTTTCTGGCGTACACAAGCCTAATAATACACATAATTTAAAGAATTAATCTCCGTCCGTAGAACGACTTTTCCCTCCCGCAACTGTTACAGTGGGTCCCTTTTGTGCATGTTCGCAAATTTCAACATGAAAGAACGGTATGTTAAACACGTCTCGGCCCAATGCTGTACATAGTCATCGTAGTCGTACGGTTGGTTTGAACCGGGAGTGTTACAACCAGTAGGCGATTGAGTAGATAAACGTGCGGAGACAGCTTACATGAAAATCATTTTTACACCCAATGTTCATCCTCGTTCAGGCAGTTTTATACTGTGTTAAGGGAAAGGGTGTGCCTTGGCTGACTGACTGACTTAGTTACAATTAGTCAAGGCAACTTAAGAAAGCGCTTTTATGCACCTGTTAGGACTGAATTTTCAACCATGACACATGCTATCGACATGACAAAAACGCAATTTAAAAGCGAAAAACAGCAAAAGGAAAATGCTAATGAAAAACACCTCGCTGAGAAAAGTTACCGGCCAGTTATTGAATAACAACGTATTGATCCAATAGAAAAATGGCTAAATAGAGAATGACCGATAAACCACAGGTAAGTGTGAGAGCATAAATTGCACAATACCTCCGTCTGGTCCACGAGGCAGCTATACACTTGTAGACTGTAAAATAAACTGGGTGCCTAAAGTCGGTGAGTATTTTTGAAGCAAATTTAGCAACCGAATCTGCGTGTGTCGATACAATTGTTTTGCCAAAGTTGGCATTGGAATGCCACTGCAGCGGGACGAATGTATCTGTGACCAGTCGAACAGCTTGAAATGATTGTACAGTAGGCCTGGAAAATCACAAGAAAGCAATATGTCCAGTGTGGGAGAATGCATGCAGTGATGAACTTCAAAATCTAATTGTAGCGTACTAATCGGGGGCCTCGGCATAAGAACCTGACATAGTTTCTAGGCGCCTATCATCGGGAGACGGGTTGCTAGCCGACTGACGGTACCATGGCTAAGTCCGGCTGGATGCCGGTGAACTCAAACCGACGGCATGAAACAGGTTACTACGGACAATGACAAATTGTGGCCTATAAAATTAACCATGAGCTATGCCTGATATACTTCGGTCTAACAGGTTTTGGTATTTTGTTTTGCCCCCGGGCTGGATTGTCGTGACGGAGAGCAGAAGGAAAGCAGCATTACTACAGTGGCTACGCGAGATTCAATCGGACCGAGAAATAGCAGCCAGCTTCGAACAATTGCAGGCACTTGAGCAGCAACAGGCCAAGCTCACTGAGATGCTGACGCAGAAGCTGTCGATACAATCAACCCTAGGTTTACGGGCAAGTGAAAGCGTCCACTTTCCAGAAACCCTGACTCAGCAGATCAATGAATTCCAGTATGATGCAAATGCTGGGGTGACCTTCGCTTCCTGGAATCCCAAGTATGAAGACATGTTTCGTGTTGATTTCGCAAATGCACCAGAAGAGAAGCAAATTCGCCTGATGCTCTGGAAGCTGGGTACGGCTGAACAAGAAAGGTTTACAAACTTTATTTTATCAAAAAAGAGCACTGCCCTATCATTTGACCCATTTGTCTCAGTCTTGTCATAAATTTCTGATGAGCAGATATCCTTGTTCAATAACTGGCACAGGTGTCTCATGATAAGCGAATAAAGAAGAAGATTAGGTCACCTACCCGAGCCGTGTAAATCGCGATTGCGAATATCCAGTTTCACAAGATGGCCGGCGACCAGTATAAGTGCCTCATTTACGTTTGCGGCCTACAAACAGCCAAAGATGCGGACACATCATTAGGGACGCAAGCGGAGCACGTACGCTGCTCTTTACATGCAAAGGTCCTCAACTGGGGCGCGGTACGACGTTTGAGCTTTCCGCCGAATTTGGGAATCGAGTGCGGATTGATCGGCAAGCTAATACACGCCCGCGTCTATGGAACCGAACTATTCCATCGATATGGTAGTATGGAATTCACTCACACCTGCTGGAATCCAGGCGCAGAAGCGTGGGTGACCCTGACCTCCAAAATTAGCAAGTTTCGGTTACCAATGAATAGAGCTGAACTATCCTGTAGTGATACTCTGTCTACCGAGTTCTGGCCATTTGTATTCCTTCGGTTGGCTGGGCGCATGACTGGGCAGTCAGACGGTCGAAGTCTCACAAGTGAAGTGAAGCAGCAGTACACCGTGGCGACTGGAATCAGAAGAACCCAAAGATATCAATCAGCTTTGAGCGGTTGCAGGCTTTGTTGCAGCAAAAACAAGCGCAATTTGAGAAAGCACAGGCTTGGCTGATCGAAACCCTGACCAAGAATTTGTCACTACAAGCAGGCTCGGTAACCGGAGCAAGGGAAAGTGGCCCCACAACGGAAACATTGACCCAGCAAGTTTGTGAATTCCGTTGCAATGCCGAGGCCAGTATTACCTTTGAATCGTGGTTCCATTAATACCAAGGCTTTTTTCGCGTTGATTTAGCCGGTGTCTCAAAGGACAAGCGAGTTCGCCCCATGCTGCGGAACTTGGGTGCAGCCGATTAAGAAAAGTTCATGAAGTTCATTTTACCGAAGAAGAGCACTGATTTAACATTTGATTAAGCGGTTTCTACTTTGTCGCAGATATTTAGAGAGCAGTCGTCATTATTCAATACTCGATACAGGTGCCTGGCAATGGCCAAGTGAGACGAGTAAGAGCGGGTTACTTACTCCTGTCGCTTGAATTGTTACTGTGAACGGTTGCTGTTTCACAAGCTGACAGGTGATCAGTACAAGTGTCTTATTTATGTGTGTGGTCTTCAAGCGATCAAAGATGCTACTGTTCGAACAAGACTTAAGAGCATAATTGAACAAAATCCTGAGATCACACTGCAGGAGGTGAGGAACGAATGCCGACGGTTGATGAAGTGGAAGCATGATGCTGCCATGATCCAACAACCATCTACCCTGAGTAGCCAGGATATCATTTGTAGGGTGTGTCGAAGTCCTCAGGAAGATTGGATTCATGTGAGTTCAGCTCATCCTAAACCACCTGCAGCTTGTCGGTCTTACAGGAAATGGCACTTTGTTCGAAACTGCCTGTTCCGGAATCACATTTACAATCGCTGTGGTAAGCGAGGACACAAAGATACCTGTTGTCTTGAGAAGTGACCAACAGTGAGTTGAAAACGGCATCGAATACCGTTGAGTTTCCGATGTTACGACGAGACCAAAACTGTGACGGCGACTTTCAAGGTTGACGGCGTCAGCAGGCTTAACTTTACAATGTTGGAGCTCAATGATAAAGAAGTTCGGCTGTCCCTGGATACATCACCTTGATTTCTCGATGTACATGGTGTATGCTGGGACGACTACTGCTAGCCTACACAGACCGTACAGCACGAAACGCATCCGGGGGTTTCTTGAAATTACTCGGAGAGCTGCATTGTCAGGTTAGTTTCCACGATTGACACATTTGTACAACCTGTTTTGTGACAGATCAGCCTGGATTAAATTTGCTGGGTCTCGATTGGATAGAGGAATTGAATTTACTTGACCAGTCAGTTAATAGTATATGCCAGAAATTACAAGTCGTGAAACCCATATAGACGCCGAACATGAACCTCGAATTTTACAGTCAAAATGCAGAACTGAGGCTACGCCAAGTAAGCTTACTTCAACTAGGTGTTGGATGCTGCTGGATAGCCAGAGCTGAGCTGAGCCTCAAACCAGACGCCAGACCAGTTTTTAGACCAAAACCTCCAGTGCCGTAAGCAAACCAGTCAGTAGTAGAGTCTGAGTTGAATTGTCTGCTGTGGGGACATAATCCAGCGCGTACATTACTCGGAATGGGCGGCACCTATCGTTGTGGTAAAGAAAGGAAAAGGCAAGATAGGTATTTGTGTCGACTTTTTAAACGGCTTAAATTCCAAGTTGGAGAATCACCAGTATTCTTTGCCCATCCCTGAAGCTTTTCACCAGGCTTAACGGTGTTAAATGGTTTGTGAAGCTCAATCTAGCTGATACATACCTACAAGTTCCAGTACCCGTGAACTACGGAACATTACTGACGGACAACACGCACATGGGGCATTTCCAGTACAATCGGTTGCCATTCGAGTGAAAACCACTCCCGCCATTTCTTAACAAATCATGGATGCACTGCTGAACGATATCCCTGGGGTGAGAGTATACTTGGATGATGCATTGATTATGGGGTATGACCCACAAAATTTGTTGGCCACGTTAAAGAAA